AGCGTACTGTTTAAGCCAACCTGTGCTAGTTCAAAAAATAGAGACCAAAACTGCTACTCTGCTAATGTGGAATCTGCAGCTGGCTAATACTAAAAGCAAGGCTTGACTTCCAGATACAGGCTTGACTTCCAGATAAGGGCTACGAGGATGATGAGGGGACTGGAGCATCTCTCCCACGAGGAGAGGCTGAGGGAGCTGGGCTTGTTCAGCCTGAAGAAGAGAAGGCTGAGAGGGGACCTAATAAATGCCAATAAATATCTGCAGGGTAGCTGTCAGGAGGACGGGGCCAGACTCTTTTCAGTGGTGCCCAGCGACAGGACAAGGGGCAACGGGCACAAACTGAAGCAGAGGAAGCTCCAGCTGAACATGAGGAAGAACTTCTTCCCTCTGAGGGTGATGGAGCCCTGGCCCAGGCTGCCCAGGGATGGTTGTGGAGTCTCCTTCTCTGGAGGTATTCCAGCCCCGCCTGGCCGCGGTGCTGTGCAGCCTGCTCTGGGTGACCCTGCTTGGGCAGGGGGTTGGGCTGGGTGACCCACAGAGGGCCCTGCCAACCCCGAACATTCTGGGATTCTGTGATTTCAGTCCTGCGCAGCTGAGGTCAGAATCTCACTCACCGTTCGTTAGCTGAATGTCCCATTACTAGCGCCCAGAGTCTCTCAAAACCAGTTCTTACCGTTCGGATATTTTCTGGTCCCTACAACATTATTCTGCCCTGGCACCATTCAAGATTCACCTCTTTGCAGTTTTTACTCTCGGCACAAGTAGACTGCTATGTCAGCCAGAACATCAATATTTCTTTCTGTTGACACAATACTCTCTTATCCATATTGCCACCCCTCCTCCTGCTTCACTTTGTCTACATTCCTTTTGAAAACTCTACTCCCATCATTTAGTCTCCCACTCAGTACTTGGTTTAATCAAGTCTGTCACTCAATCTATATCCCACTTCTTGCTCAACACAAGTTTCTTGGTTAGCAATCTGTTTCTGTAGCACTTGCTATGCGTTAACACATGGCTGGCTTGTCTTTCCACACTTGCTTCCCTGTTGCCTTTCTGATTTCTAGACCTCACTTTTCCTTGCAACACTTCAGGATGAAAAACTTCCTCTTCTGTCTCCCCCTCTTTATGTTCGTCACGTATTTTTACGAGACCACTGCAATCCGGGCTTCTTAAATATCACGGGGTGGTTTGCGTAGGGCACAGAACAGTCCTTGAGTCCAGTTAAAACAGTTTTCAACTGCAGAATCTCACCCAGTTTAGTACATAGCTTTAGGGGAACTCTCCTGTGGCTGTATTTCTTTGTTGCGGCTTGTACCCCTTCCCGTCTTCATCACCGTACCTTGGTTTGTAGGAACACAGGACACATGCACAAGTTAGATTCTCTCCCTGTGACTGCTCATTCAGCACAGCGTGCTAAAATCTGGTCTTGAACATCCATCCTCAGTTTTGGTGTTGAGGAGCAAAGAGCGGAGCGGAGCCCCATTCCAGTTGCTCCGCACGTTTTAACACAGGGGACTGGGTTGGGTACATCTTGAGTACGCTGCCTAGTGCAACCACAGCACGAACTGAACAGCTCACCTTTCCTGGACAGAGAACATCTGATTTAATTTCGGTACTGCAGGTTGCGTATCAGCAACATTGCCCACCACCACCCCTAGAATCTCCCACACGAGTTTCGTGTCACCAGCCAGCTCCCCTGGCGAGGACCATGGGTGGTCAGACTGCTTTCCTGCTGTCCGCAGCTCCCTGGAGGGGTTTAAAAAACGTGCAGATGTGGCCCTTCAGGATGTGGTTTAGTAGGAATGGCGGTGTTGGGTGGATAGTTGGACTCTATGATCTTAGAGGTCTTTTCCAACCTATGCTTCTATGATTCTAGCTGGTGGAGAGACTGGTGGACCACCAAAAGAGGCTGTTGGAGCAGGTTCAGCGCGGCAGCAGGCAGATTCGCTGAGACTGTTTGTTGGTTCTCTGGATGATTCTGCTGGGTCAGCAGGTTTCCAGGTTTAAATGCTGGCATGGTGTAAGACGCAGAACGCTGTTTCATAACCCCTTTCTAGAAGTACTGCTTTGTTGTGATGCTCCTGTTACATTGCCCTACTTTTGCTGTCTACTCTCTGCGTGGGCCGGGTGAGTTTTTGCCCGCTGTGTTACCCGGCGCTGGGCTCTGCATCTACCCCAGAGATGGGGAGCTGGGGGGATACGCTGGCAGCCGCGGTCCCTGCGTTTCACGGGACAAAGGCGACCACGTCCTGGCCCAGTCGCAGAGCAGCAACACCCGGTACTTGTACTGGACTTTCCATTTCCAGACCAGTTTAACACCGCTACAGGCTGACGGCGTGCTCATCTGTCTCGCTGTACGTTCTTAGCGCAGGAGAGGCCAGAGCAGCCCTTCGCTCCCCGCCTGGATCCGCGGCTGCCCTATATAAATCTGCACATTAAGCAGCTTTGGCTTTGGTTCAGCCAAAGACAGGCTCCCTCCAGTGCGACGTGAAAATCACCCTTCTTGCAGCAGCACTGGGGAGAGTCCAGCGGAGAGCTATGAGGATGAGGAGGGGACTGGAGCATCTCTCCTGTGAGGAGAGGCTGAGGGAGC